GAAGAACATAGGCTTATGTCTGCAGAATTGGATAAATCCAAGGTCAGTAAGTCAGAAGGAAGACAACTCCCATGATTAGCAGGCAGTATGGCAATACATTGGGTCAAGTTTAAAGAACTGAAGGTTAATGAGCCAGATGCAGTGTCCAGACCCAGAAAAAAGCAAGGAATATTTTCCACCACATCCACTTATACAGAGAGCGAGTCACACCCGAAGGAAACTTAGTTTTAATTTAGTACATCATGGCTGTGACCTGAGTAAGCGTGTTGTATCTCACCCTAACCTTCTTACCACTGATTGGTTGTGATTACATTGTGTCAGGTCAGGTCATGGAGTATTATGTACCAATCCACTGAAAATCATAGTTCAGCATATTTGACCCAAAGCCAAACTATCATACGCCGTGGGTAAAGACCTCTTTTTAAAAATTGTCCATAAAAGACCAAATGATCAAAAATTTTTCTGAAGAAAAAGTGAAAAGGTAAGGGGACAAGAAAACTAGAGTATTGAAAATATTAAAATCAGAAAGGAGTGAAAAATATAACAAATATCACCGAATAACATATAGAAATTGTTAAGTGGTAACCTAATTTCACACATATGATTTTTTGTTCTGGGTCTGTGATCCCATCAACACCTCATGGTCACACAGGCTGGTGTGCTTCTTCCATGTGGGCTTTGTTGCTTCTGAGCTAGATGGCCGCTTGTTTACCTACAAGCCTTTAAGACCCCAGATGCTTGATAGCCGGGCACCATTCAGCTTTCTTCACCACATTTGCTTATGCACACATTTGTCTTCAGTGATCATATCGGGAAGGTGGACACACAATGATATGATTTTTCATTGTGAAAGAGGGGGAGTGCAGATTGGGGTCCCAAAGCCCATCTGCAGGCAACTGGACATCCCCTTACAGAAGGGAGATGAGCTATTCAGGGTGCAGTGTAACAACGATGAAACATACAACTTTCCTCTAGTTCCTAAATGCTTCCTCCACCCCCATCCCTCCACCCCCACCACTATCATGATCCCATTTCAACCCTACAAATCCAGCTAGACCAGAGGATTAACATTGGTACAGATAGGAACCAGAAACACAGGGAATCCAGGACAGATGATCCCTTCAGGACCAGTGCTGAGAGTGGCGAAACTGGGAAGGTGAAGGGAGGGTGGGGTAGAAAGGGGGAACTGATGATAAGGATCTACATATAGCCTCCTTCTTGGGGGATGGACAACAGAAAAGAGGGTAAAGGGAGACATTGGACAGTGTAAGATATGACAAAATAATAATAATAATGTATAAATTACCATGGGTTCATGAGGGAGGGGGAAGTGGGGAGGCGAGGAAAAATGAGGAGCGGATACCAAGGGCCCAAGTAGAAAGCAAATGTTTAGGGAATGATGAGGACAACAAATGTACAAATATGCTTGATATACAATGGATGGATGTATGGATTGTGATAAGAGTTGTATGAGCCCCCATAAAATGATTTCCAAAAATAATAGTAACCTAATTTTCAGTGTAAATTTTCACCTTGAACAGTTTTTTAAAAGGACAGAGAAAGTTAAATGGATCCTTATAGGTTTATAGCATGTTATTTTTAATGTTGGGGGGTTATATTTAGCTAGTGGTGAAGCATTGGGTTGCAATCTGCACAGTCAATAGTTCGAACCACCAGCAGCTATGCAGGAGAAAGACAGCTTCCTACTCTGGTTAACAGTTACAGCCTCCAACACCCACAGGGGTTGCTATGAGTCAGCATTGACTCTATGGCAGTTTGGTTTTGAGAATCAGAAAAATTTGGGAGCACAATTAGGCTTTCTACTCCTCTAAGGAGCTACAGGCTCAGAAACTCACAAGGGAATTGAGTCAATGGAAGTGAATTTAGAGTTTGAAGCCATAAAAAAAGGAGCCTTGTTGGCACTGTGGGTTAGGCCTAGGGTTGCTAATCCCAAGGTAGGTGTTTGAAATTTGAAATTTGAAATCCACCAGTTGCTCTGGGAAAGAGAGGTGAGGCCATCTGCTCCCAGACACCCTATATAGCGTTACTATAAGTCTGAATCAACTCAATGGCAGTGGGTTATTTATAATAAGCACAGTGGATATACACATGCATTAAATGTCACATCTCCCTGATGTCATCAACTCAAGGGAAAAGATCAGCATGAATTCAATCCCTAAAATAAGGAGGTTGTTCTAGCGCTCACCTTCCCACTTCTCCATCCAATTGGCCATAGGGCTTCGATCCTAGCCCCAGACTTGTGTCAGAACACACAAGTTAGAAGGACACTGCCCTTCACACTGACAAATAAGCAAATGTCAATTACAAGTCTGCGTTGTCCACACAGCACTCTGGTCTTTTGCCCTACTGACCACAATTTTAGGGCTCCTTTACCACGAACACTTCACAATGCGAGTATGTGGTTTAGAGTCCAAAATACCTTTACTCCTTGACCTGCTGGATACCACTGCTCTTTTTGGCTCCATAATTTACTTAAATAACACAGAATAATACTTAAAGAACAGTCTTCAAGGAGAGTATACCATTAAAAGAAATGGAAAAAAAAACCCTCACTGCCATCACGTTGACCATGACCTATGGTGACCCTGTCAGTCTCTGAGACTGTAACTCTTTATGGGAATAGAAAGTCCTATCTTTCTCCCGTAGAGCAGCTGATGGTTTCAAACTGTTGACCTTGCAGTTTGAAATCCAACTCATAACCACTATGCCTCTAGGGCTACCATATCGTAGTTACAGCCCCAAAGAATAAATTAAAGGGACACATAAGGAGAAGTCTTGGAGAGTTCCCAATAAGAAGCTTCCACATTGTCGGCCAATGCATTACCCACCCCAAAACAGAGGTTCTTTCACTCAGGAAGCCCTCTATGTCTTAGGAATCAGGCTTTTATCAGTCAGTTTCACTGCTGACAATGATTAAAGAGCTAGTCTGCTATCCAGAAGGTTGGTGGTTAGAACCCACCAGCTGGTGCTCATTTCAGCAGCACATATACTAAAATTGGAATGATAGAGAACCCACCAGTTGATCAACAAGGGAAAGTAAAAGATGAGCAAATCTTCTTCCATAGACTTATAACCTTGGAAGCCCTATGAGGCAGTTCTACCCTGTTGTCTAGGATCATGATGAGTTGACATTGACTGAATTACAGTGAGTTTGGCTTGGATTTTATTTACATGATAAGCTAAATCATACCTCCAGAACTTAGTTGATATTAGCTTCCCAGGTGAGCCTTTTCTGTGCTAGCCAGCTCCCCACCAGCCAGCCCAATCATCGTGTATGGCCTAGAAGTCATGGACCAAGGCAACCTAATTACTGTAAGGATAATTTCTTAGGAAGCAACAACAAATACCTTCTTAGGGTCAAACTAAGTTCTTTACCTTATAGTTGGATAAATATAAAAACACTGAGTCTGCAGGACCTGGGAAATCTCTAAGGACAGGGTAACATCATAAGTGGAGAAAATGTTGAAATTGTCAAGGATTTTTTAAAAATTTAAATTAAATTAAAAAAAAAAAGAAATTATCAAGGATTTTGACATTGTTGGACCCACAATAAGTGTTCATGGAAGTAGCAATTAAGAGATTAAAAGATGAGTTGCATTGGGTAAATCTGCTGCACAAAACCTCTTCAAAGTATGGAAAAGCAAGGATGTTACTTTGAGTACTAAGGCCCAAACCAAGGTATTTTTAATAGCCTTCTAGATGCATGTGAAAGTTGGGACATTGAATAAAGAAGACTGAAGACTTGATGACTTTGAATTGTGGTGCTGGAGAAGAATATTGAAAGTACCATGGACTGCTAAAATGACAAACTGATCTGTCTTAGAAGACATACAGCCATAATGCTCATTAGAGGAAAGCATGGTGAGACTTTGTCTAACATAGTTTGGACATGTTGTCAAGAGAGACCAGTCCTTGGAGAACGACATCATGTTATGTAAGGTAGAGGGGCAGTGAGGGAAAGGAAGGCCTTCAAGGAGATGGATGGACATCATGGCAGCAACACTGGGCATAGTAACAATTGTAAGGATGATGCAAGATCATTCAGCCTTATTACTGTGTGCATAGAGTCATTATGGGTCCAAAGTAACTTGATGGCACCTAACAAAAACAATAAGGATTAGGGATAAGAAAAGATCTATTCTTATTGCGTCAGATGGATCATTCTTATCATTGCTAGGAAAGTGACCAACCAGTCAGAATTGAAATGTTTGTGCTTGCCAACTCGGTTATATAGAGCTAAGCTGTTTAAAGAAAATACTTACCTAAATTTTAAGATGATCTATTATTGCAAGATTCAATTAGGGAAATCTTTTTAGGAAGCACAGGTATGATTAATGAAAGAAAGCGAGGGACACCTCTTTTTTTTTGCATAAAAGAACTCTCAAAAACAAACAAACAAAAAAAGAACTCTTTGGGGGTTGGGAGGAGATTTCATTCTGAATTTTATGTGGTATTATTCTCTAACTGGGAGGTATTAAAAAGTATCAGCCATTACATTATGAAATGTAAGTGGCTTACAGTCAGTTTGTATGAGAGAAATGCTAATACTAAACAGAATTACATGATTTTTCAAAAATTATGTTGTGTTAAAACTCACAGCACCAAACATTTGTATATTTTCTGGGACACTCCAAAGACTCTCCATCTACTTACACTTAAAATACAACACTATGAGTCTCCTAGCCACCACCTTGGAATAGAAATCTTTAACATTTTCAAGAACAATTTTAGTTCAATGTCTAATATAAAAATTCTGGACTGCTCGCTTCACCCCGACGCCCGGCTGTGCGCGTCCTCCCGCCGGCCTGCAGGCCTGGCGCTTCAGCCTCCCCCGCCGCTGCCCCTCGCGGCCCCAGCTAGCGTTCACGCTGTCGCCCGGACCAGCGCGTCCGCGGGCAACCGCCCCCCCTCCCACACCTACCCCGCCCCCTCCCTGCCTTTTCCGCTCGCCGGTCCCCCTCCTCCGGCCCGCAGCCGCCGCTCCAGATGAGGTGATGGCAGCGTCCAGCTTCGGCAAGATCCAGATCGGGATTTACGTGGAGATCAAGCGGAGCGATGAAAGCAATATTGTGGCATCTGCTTATAGCAGATTATTATGATCCTCCTCCGTTCCTGACGATGCATTCTTATTCATATATTACAGTTTCTCAGGCCGAATACATCAAGCAATGGTAACATCTTTAAATGAAGATAATGAAAGTGTAACAGTGGAGTGGATAGAAAATGGAGATACAAAAGGCAAAGAGATTGACCTCGAGAGCATCTTTTCACTTAATCCTGACCTTGTCCCTGATGAAGAAATTGAACCCAGTCCAGAAACACCTCCACCTCCAGCATCTTCAGCCAAAGTAAACAAAATTGTAAAGAATCGGCGCACTGTGGCTTCTATTAAGAATGACCCTCCTCCAAGAGATAATAGAGTGGTTGGTTCTGCACGTGCACGGCCTAGTCAGCTTCCTGAGCAGTCTTCCTCTGCACAACAGAATGCACGTAGAAAATCTAATTGTGTGAAAGAAGTAGAGAAACTACAAGAAAAACGAGAGAAAAGGAGGCTACAGCAACAGGAGCTTAGGGAAAAAAGAGCCCAGGACGTTGATGCTACAAACCCAAATTATGAAATTATGTGTATGATCAGAGACTTTAGAGGAAGTTTGGATTATAGACCATTAACGACGGCAGATCCTATTGATGAACACAGAATATGTGTTTGTGTACGGAAACGACCACTCAATAAAAAAGAAACTCAGATGAAAGATCTTGATGTAATCACAATCCCTAGTAAAGATGTTGTGATGGTGCATGAACCAAAACAAAAAGTAGATTTAACAAGATACCTAGAAAACCAAACCTTTCGTTTTGATTATGCCTTTGATGACTCCGCTCCTAATGAAATGGTTTACAGGTTTACAGCTAGACCACTAGTGGAAACTATATTTGAAAGAGGAATGGCTACATGCTTTGCTTATGGGCAAACTGGAAGTGGGAAAACACATACTATGGGTGGTGACTTTTCAGGAAAGAACCAAGACTGTTCTAAAGGGATATATGCATTAGCAGCTCGAGATGTCTTTTTAATGCTTAAGAAGCC